ACGCGAAAGATTTTTAATCCAACAATAGTGATATTTAATTTCATCGATTGAATCATTATCTTCATTTGCTGGCGCTGGTGGAGGAGCATCATAATCATTTAAACGCGGATAATATTTATTTTGAGCTAAAAGTAAATTAACATGCGTATCCCGTTTATTTTCCGTTAATCTTGCTGGTACTACTATGTAAAATGATTTTTTTTCTGTTTCGATCAATTCTAAAGCGTAAACATTGACTGAAATGTTATTCATCTTTTCAAATTTTGAAATTTTTGTTAGCAGCATAGGACTATCTAAATTTTCTGTTTGTAAAACGTCAGTAAAGTGTGGATATGAGGAGGTTAGTTCTGCATGTCTTTTTTGCTAGGAGTCCGAAGAGCGCTTACAATGGCCCAGTAAAAGCAATTTTGATCTATATTTTTAATGTTTATACAAGCATTTTTCCTTATAATCGGTTCTGGTAGTCTAATATAAGATGAACCGTTTCCCAATTGATATTTACTGATATTAACAACTAAGGAAATAATTTTATTTAACGCAAATCCCGAATCTTTTTCAGCAAATTCCGATAATTCGTTTAAAAGTTTATCTTTACATATATCTTAAACCACTCGTCTATTTGAGTTGATGTATCAATAATATGATTTTTAGTATTAATATATTTAATTCCCAAAATTTCATTATCCCCCGATTTCCTAATAAACTCCCCGCAAAATGTTGTATTTACTTTGAGCGCACAATGGGTGTTCAAAATATTCCTAATTTTCCTTTTAAAAACAACTACACAATCTGCTAAAAATTGATTCAAGTCCTTATGACGCAAATTAGCTATGGAACCGGTTTTTATTCTACTTTGAAAGCTCGATTCTACATTTTCCCATCTAACCCTCTGACCCAATGTTAAGTGAAGTCCTGCCCCAATATGTCTAGTTAAAATCAACTTTCTAAAATGTTTAAAATGCCCCAAATTTGTTTCTACTTTTCTACAGGTCCCTACAGATAATTTATTTTGCCTTCTACTACGAATTACCCGTTTACATAATCTAATTTGTTTTTCTATTCGTTTCAGCCACACTTCCGCGTCTCTGATTGTAAAATTATCAAATAAAATTTTCCGTAGACTAACAATTGATAGTAGAACACCGTCTGTTTGTTTGATGATCTTTTTAACCTTATTTGAAGACATTTGAAAAGACGACATTTTTTTTTTCAAGCAAACACATTACTCAAAATATATAAAAATGCTCACCCTGTCCTCCTCCTGTTCTCTGCTTTGTTAATTTTCCACTATTTTGAATGATGCTAGCGGTCGGCTTTTCCCTACGTCCACTTCCCCTTGGAAGATGATCGAGTATTTTCCGTGAAAAAGTTCGTCGATGACCGGCTGGTACGTTTCCGTCACCCGCTGTGGTAGAAATAGCACTTCCGGTCCTAAATCTAGTAGCACGGCTTCCCCAAATTTCGACTTGACCACTTTAGCTGCTTGGATTGCAAATGGTGTCCCGACTGGTAGGTCCTTTAATTTTCTGATAGGTTTGCGGTCTACAATCGAAGACGCAGCATTAATTTTTGATAAATCCATCTATAAAAAAAATTGAGTCGTCTAACTATTTTGAAGCATAACACGAAAAAAAAACAGTTGCACTTAGAGACATAAAAAAGAAAAAATTAAATAAAATAGCACTTACTTTTTTTAAAATTTTCGCTCTCTCGTCTCTCTCGAAGCACTATTGTACTGCGGTCGTTGTTGCAGCTTGCAGCGTTGTGCGTTAAGTGTGAAACAATGATGACTATTGCATGCGCTCGCTCAATATAAGTACGTAGTAGAGATGACACACGCGTGCATGAGATAATTGTATCGTAAATATGCATATTATATGCATCATATTCTCAGTACCATTTTTATCGAGAAAACTGCATGCGCTCGCTCAATATAAGTACGTAGTTGAGATGACACACGCGTGCATGAGATAATTGTATCGTAAATATGCATATTATATTCATCATATTCTCAGTACCATTTTTATCGAGAAAACAACATTCATTGCGGTTGCAGTATTTTTTATATAATTTCTTAGTAATACATGAATGTATCGTTTGTCCGGCGGAAATTCCAATTACAAGTTGCACATGAGAGTAGAATTTTAGAAATATAGAAATTCGTGTATGATTATTGTATATTTGCTGCCTAATTTTTTTTCAGTCAAGATTTTGATTGGGGGGGTAAACGAATTTATATTTGCTATCTGAGATTTTTGACATCATTCTCTATCAAGATGTTGATGTGGGTAGACGTATTATTTTTTATTTCAACTTTCACATACGTGCTTTGCAACGATTTCTCCGAAAAAGACGCTATAGTATACCTAACTCAATATGAACATATCATCGATAATAAACAGATCTCTCTACTTTGCTAACTAACTTGCAAGAAAAGTATAATTTACCAGTGGATGGATTGTTGAATAATGCAACAATTGAATTTATGAATCGTCCGCGTTGTCAATACAGTGATGCTGAATTTAGAGCAAGTTTTCCATTTCGGAAACATGACCTGAAATGGTATTTCCCTCGAAACACACCTGCGGCCCAAAAAGATGCAGAAATGGCTTTTCAGATGTGGCAAAATGTTTCAAACTTAACATTTACAATGGTTACCAATCCCACTCTATATCCTCCTGATATTACTATAACCATGGTTAGCAAGACTCATTATTTTAGCGCAAACTGTATGGGTAATGATGAATGTCCATTGACATTAGATGATGCTGGCGGCGTTTTAGGACATGCATACTTTCCTGACTCTAGCGGCACCTGTAGAGAAATCCATTTAGATATAAATGAACGCTGGTATTTTGGAAATAATCCTAATATACCCAAAAATCAAACTAGTTTTCTTATGGTGTTGGTTCATGAAATTGGACATGCCCTCGGCATAGCACATAGTGCTTCTCCGAATGCTATTATGTTTGCCTTCTATCAGCATGAGATTCGTGGTCTAGATGTTGATGATATAAATGCAGTACAATATCTATATGGAAGAAAAAACAAATATGATTCAATCCCAACGTCTACCACCGCATCAGCAATACCAAAAACAACAACAACTATAAGATCTACAACTCGTAAGCAGCCGATCCTCAAAAATTTGTGTGATATTATTCCAGATTTTATGTTTTTAGCTATTGCTCCAGAGTTTTCAAATTACCGATTATATATTGCACATGATATGTTTATATGGAAACTAGACTTAAACGAAATGATTATCCCATCTCAGCCTGAACTTCTTGTCGATTATGTTCCTACAGAATTACGTCAATACACTTTACAACATATTTTCCAATCAACAAACGGTGACTTGATTACCATTGTGTCTCCAAACAATATTTCTCAGCATCATTCCCTACCATTAAATTTCTTGATAATTTTTCAATTGATATACCCGATAGGGCTCGAATCAATGCTATTTTTCAATCAAACGCAGGACGGTCCTATACCTTTTATAATAATATGTCATATAGAATTTTCTAACGATTTTACTGATGTGTTGAACAGAGGACGGATAAGAGACATATTTCCTGAATTACCTGAAGATATTTCTCTCGCATTTCGATGGATTGATGGCCATATTTACTTTTTCCGTCACGCAACTTACTATAAATTTAATGAATTTACAAGAAAAGTTGTTGCGACCGGACCATTTCATTGGACTCTATTTGGAGTACCATGCCCCAGCGAGGATTTGTTACATCAACTAAAAACTCTGTTATCTAAACTTGTATCTGTATCATTAAAAAAACATTTTTCAGAAAGCTATGTTTATTTCGTATTCAGCCTGTTGTCAAACAAAAAAAAAACAGTCGGTTCCTTCGACTCCCCACCCCCCCACCATCATTCTACTACATAAAGTTTCATTTTGAACGGTATCATCCTGTATAATAATAACAGTACATCGTATACAGGTTATGAGACATTCTGACCGACCGACCGACCAGAGGAGCCCACCACGCTATTTAGGTCACGCCTTGCTATATACGATTTAACGATATACCGTCGGTCCATCGATCCGCTATTTTTCGATGCACCCCTGTATACACGTTCTGAATGCCCCCCGTAATCCACGCCAACACCAGACAGGTGCGACATCGGCGCCATCTATGCGCGAGATGCCCAACCCATCAATGGCAGCTGTCCAATGACACATAGATTCCGTTTGGTTTGTACAGCGCCAAACAAATCGGCGCCATCTATGCGCGAGATGCCCAACCCATCAATGACAGGTGTCCAATGACGTATGACAGATGACGTGTAACGCCATCTATGCGTGAGATGCCCAATGACGCATGACAGGTGTCCAATGACACACAGATTCCGTTTGGTTTGACAGCGCCATCTAGCGGCGGAATCCCCAACTCATGAATTTCGATTACAGATTCCGTCCAACAACCTGTCAATGGCGCGCGACGCCAGCGCCTGGT